GTGTTGATTCAAGAAAAACAGGTTTTGCCTCCCAGTATGTGGGAGTGTACATTTCTGTGATGTCTTTTACATGTAGACAGGACCTTCCTTCCAGAGGAGCTAGCACCAGTCTCACCTCACTGACCTGGGTGCCCTCCTCGCTAGGGCGAGCCTGGGTGGGGTTTTGGAATTCTCTGGGTATGCAGGACTCAGCCATTTAAGTGGAAAAAAAGGCAAAACAATTTACTTTTTTTAGATTTTGCCATTTGAAAATTTGCCGTTTGAAAGTAGGATACGTGCACTAAATCGTTAGAAACATACAGTTGGAAAAATACTGAAAGAGACAATGATTACTTATAATCCCTCATAAAATGCAGGAATTTTAATTTTTTTGCTCAGCTTGCTTACATTCTTCTCTTATGAATAGCTTCTATTTTGTTTTGTTTTTAATTTTCTTTTGAAGTGTCATTGTAAGTAGATGTGATTTTGGCAGAGATCCTTTTCCCTTCTTTAAAGTGAGTCATGTTCAGTGTCAACATATTTAGAAACTAGAAGAGTTAGGATTGGACTCTAGTCAGTTCTAGACCTGCATTACCCAGTGTGCAGAGCCCTAAATGGGTGTTAAAAATTTACTCCTGTTGGTATAGTGGGCCAGGCGAGCTCTAGCAGGTCAAATTGGCAAAAAGTCACTTACCAGCTTTGCTAGAGCTAAACAGAAATTTCAAAGGGTGGCTCCAGAAGACAAAGTATTATAATGAAATGTGCAAAGACCTGGAGTTAGGAAACCAAAAGGGAAGAACATGCTCAGCATTTGTCAAGCTGAAAGAACTGAAGAAAAAATTCAAGCCATGAGTTGCAATGTTGTAGGATCCTATGGGCAAAATATTGAACGACACAGGAAGCATCAAAAGAAGATGGAAGGAATATACAGAGTCACTGTACCAAAAAGAATTGGTTAATGTTCAACCATTTCAGAAGATAACATATGATCAAGAACCGATGGTATTGAAGGAAGAAGTCCAAGCTACACTGAAGGCGTTGGTGAAAAACAAGACTCCAGGAATTGGTGGAATACCAATTGAGACGTTTCAACAAACGGATGCAACATCGAAAGCACTCACTTGTCTATGCCAAGAAATTTGGAAGACAGCTACCTGGCCAGCCGTCTGGAAGAGATCCGTATTTGTGCCCATTCAAAGAAAGGTGATCCAACAGAATGCAGAAATTATTGACCAATATCATTAATATCACATGCAAGTAAAATTTTGCTGAAGATAATTCAAAAATGGTTTGCACAGTTCGTCAACAGGCAACTGCTGGAAATTTAAGCTGGATTCAGAAGAGGTTGTGGAACAAGGGTTATCATTGCTGACGTCAGGTAGATCTCGGCTGAAAGCAGAAAATACCACAAAGATGTTTACCTGTGTTTTATTGACTATACAAAGGCATTCAACTGTGGATCATAACAAATTATGGATAACATTGTGAAGAATGGGAATTCTAGAACACTTAATTGTGCTTATGCGGAACCTGTACGTAGACCTGTATGTCAAACAGAACAAGGGGATACTGCATTGTTTAAAATCGAGAAAGATGTGCATCAGGGTTGTATCCTTTCACATACTTTTTCAGTCTGTATGCTGAGCAAATAATCCAAGAACCTGGACTGTCTGAAGAATGCGATATCAGGTTTGAAGGAAGACTCATTAAAAATCTGCGATATGCAGATGACACAATCTTGCTTGGGAAAAATGAAGAGGACTTGAAACACTGATGAAGATCAAATACTACAGCCTTCAGTATGGATTACACCTCAACATAAAGAAAACAAAAATCCTTACAACTGGACCAATAAGCAACATCCTGATAAACAGAGAAAAGATTAAAGTTGTCAAGGATTTCATTTTACTTGGATCCACAGTGAATGCCCATGGAAGTAGCAGTCAGGAAATTAAATGATATATTACATTGGGCAAATCTGCTGCAAAAGCTTCTTTAAAGTTTTAAAAAGCAAAGATGTCACCTTGAGGACTAAGGCGCACCTGACCCAATCCATGGTGTTGTCAGTTGCCTCTTATGCATGTGAAAGCTGGATAATGAATAAGGAAGGCAGAAGAAGAATTGATGCCTTTGAATTATGGTGTTGGCAAAGAATATTAAATATATCGTGGACTTTCAGAAGAACGAGCAAATCTGTCTTGGAAGAAGTACAGCCAGAATGCTTCTTAAAAGTGAGGATGGCAGGGCTTTGTTTCACGTACTTTGGGCTTGTTATCAGAGGGGACCAGTCCCTGGAGGACATCATATCTGGTAAAGTAGAGGGTCAGCAAAAAAGAGGAAGACCCTTAATGAGATGAACTGACACAGTGTCTGCAGCAGTGAGCTCAAACATAGCAACAATTGTGAAGATGGTGCAGGACCGGGCAGTGTTTTGTTTTGTTGTCCATAGGTTGTAAGAGTCGGAACCGACTCGACGGCACCTAACAGCAGCAACAACAGTTTTGCTCTAGCGAAACCTTAGTACATAGGATAACTTGGATGGTAAACTCAGGCAGAACTAGTTTTAGGTCTGAAAGCAAGTCTGAATTAGATAGGTCTTACCATATTTGTTCATAGTTCTGAGGAGGATTTGATATCGGTTAGCAGGCGAGGTGAAGTGATGGAATCATGGGGGCTTGTGGCCTGTGGGAGACTCTTGTCTTGTTATTGGACTGGATTTAGAAGTGAGTCCAGAGGCAAAGGGAAGGACTGTTTTTGGGGTTCCTGGGGCAGTGGGTGAGAGGGATGGTCCTGCAGCCATCAGTAAGGATCCTTCTAAACTGATGTGGCTGGGGCCCCTGCCGCCACCATTGATGTCTCTGATGTCTTTTTCAAAACCTTTCTCCCTCACCAGGGTCTAAGGGACCTTGTGGGCGCTTCTTCCCCCCTTGTACTTGAGGCTGGTGGCTAAAGTGTGAATGTATGTTGGGGATGAGATCAGGGGCTGGGTAGGTGTTGAGCGATGACACCAGCCGCAGCTGAGCTCCGATCACTTCATCTCTTCCCAGTCTTAGCGGTTTGGTCTGTAGGGCTCACTCTTGTTTATTGCCATGAAGTGCAGGAGCCTGGAGCGGGTCCAGGGTGTGAAATGGCACCAGGTGATAGGCCGGGCCAGGCCCCCCTTCTCGTCTACGTGTCTTCCAAGGGTATGGTCACTTTCCAAAAACCTTGCTGCCTTTCATTAGGGTGCAGGTGGTCCATTTGTGCCCGAGCAGTGCCTGTCCCTGCAGAGATGTCTCAGAGTCGGTGGGCCAAGGGGTGTGGGGAGGCGGCCTGGTGTGGTGGGCACAGAGTAGGCAAGGGCTGGGTTGGGACCCTGGCCCACCATTCACGAGCTTAATGAACTTGGCCAGTTGGTTAACCTTTCTGGCTTTGGTTTTCTCACTTGCAAAATGGGACAGTAATAATCCTAAGTCAGGTTGTTTTATGAAGATTAAAAGATGATGTTGGAAGACACTTGAGCCTGGTGCCTGCTAGCTGATACCGTGTGGGAGAAGGTACTCTCTGAGGGTGAGTTATGGCAGGTCACCCCAACTTCCCAGGCCCCTGTGCATTAGTGGATTTCTCTTACTGTCACTACAATTCCATTTCTTTTTTTAAAGAAGAAAATACTTTCTCAAAGTAGCTTTGCACATGCCCAGGAGTCCCTGGAGTGGGCTGGGGCTGCTCCCCCATGAGGTTCTGGTTAAGGACCCGTGTTAGTGCTGTTACGTGAACATTCCCTGCCTGTACGTCTGTTACTGAGTGTGAGCAGAGGATGGAATCCCAGAAGGCGGCCCTGTGACAGTCGCCTCCCTCCTGCTGTCGTATGCCTGCCTCCAGGGTAGACCAAGCACTTCTCAGCCTCCACTGTGTTTGTGCATGTAGGCTCCCTGCCAGAAGTGCCTTCCACACCCCCATCTGGATCTTTCTTACCTCTGAGTCTTACATCAGATCCCATCTTCCTGCTAAACTGGTCTGTCTCGCTCTTCCCAGCCAGAGTGCTCCTGAGGGTTTCCTGCTGTTCCTTTTCCTTTTGGGTGGGGCGGGGTGGTTACTTCAGTCTCCAGCATGTTAACAGACCTTATCTTAACCCTCCAGCACAGTGCTCCTTATAGGGGTTACTGAATACTTGGTTGATTAACAGCACACGCCCTGCCCTGTGAGGTCCCTCTGTGTACAGTGGCTGTCATATATTGTTAACCCTGACCAGCATTAATGCATTTTACATTGTGACTCAGTAGAGAGGGAGAAGTGCATACATGCAGACACACACACACACAGAACTTGTTTCACTAAACCATCCTACCCACGATGCACTCTGATACCTTCTTTTCTGTTCTATATCATGTTGTTTGTTTTTAGTGCTGGTTGGGATCTTCCAAATTGATTGGACATTGGGTCTGGACTGCTGTTTGAAAAACATTGGCTTGGTGAATAGTTGAGCCTGAGGGTGGGAGGGAGGGGACTCTGGTTGTCCCTCAGTCTGTGGTGGCTCTGTGGTGGCTGTTAGAGGCTGCGCTTGATTGTGATTGGAAAGGGGCAGGCAGCCCTCACCCCTGGGGACTCGAGTGGCGGCACTACTCCCATGAGTGGCCCCCTCACCCTACGGGAGCTGCTTCAGAAGCTTGGATGTTCTCTCCCAGCGTAGAGTTTGTGTGCAGAAGAATGAGCACTGGACTAGGAGTCAGTGTACCTGGTCAAGTCCTGGTTCCACCGCTGTGAGCCTGGGGCACATCTCGTTAGCTCCTCTGCCTGTTTTCCATGGCCTAGCACACAGCACCGACTCACCGACCACTTGGCTGAATCACGAATCTTTCCCCCTGACTCCAGTGCCTGGGAGTGTCGAGGGTCGCCCCAGAGTCCACCTTGACTGTGGGCCGTTCCTCTCTGTTTTCTCTCAGTCTGCCTGGCTCAGAGGGGAGTCGGGAGAACCAGTCTGTCGCCTTCTGCCAAGTGTTGGAGCGTAGCTGTGAGTGTGATCTTTGCCCCCTCTCTTCCAGCCCTGAAGGATGGCTGCCATGCTGGGGGATGCCATCATGTTGATCAAAGGCCTTGCCAAGCTGACCCAGGCGGCCCTGGAGACCCACCTGCAGCACTTGGGCCTCGGTGGGGAACTCCTCATGGTGGCCAGGACCCTGCAGTCCACAGCCACGGAGCAGTTTGCTGTGGTCTTTGGGAGTGTGCAGGTAAGGAGGCTACCCTGACTGTGGGAAGGGTGCTGATGGGAGAGGGCTCGGAGCTCCCAGCGAGACCAGGGGTGTGAACTGGGACTGCAGCCATGGTGACTGGTCTTGCTTGTGGCCTGGGCCAGAGAGCCCACAGGTCAGTGCAGTGGGCTTTCCTGTTTGGGCAGCGAGGGCCTCTCATGCGACTCTGTGGTTCATTTTGTTTTAGCTATAGCATGTATCACAGAGCCAGAAAGAACTCCCAGGAGCGACTCATCTAGCACCTTGTTATTCAGATGAGTGGTTCAGCAATACCTCCCAAGCACCTACTGATGCCAGGGTGGGCGGCCGGCCTAGGCCCCGTCCTGCGGGGGCTTCCCGGGTGACCCCTTGGTCTGGCCTAAGTTTAGTTCCTGGGTCCTGTGCGAAGGAACTGAAGAGAGGCCTTTTAAATTTTGGAAATTTAAAAAAAAAAAAAAAACCACAAAGAAGTAACAATCACCTGTATTTTTCTGGAGGGCTGGCAAAAGGAACTCTGTGATGCTTCCTTCAGCACAGCAATTTCTTTATAAGACCAAGAACCTCTCCCTTGTTTGTCTGGTTTATGGTAGTGTTTTTGTGGGGTGGATTTCTGGAACTCGCCCCAGTGTGGGCTGTGCAGGGGCATGGCCAGGCTGGGAAACACACGCTTGATTGTTCTTAGCCTTCTCACCGGAGCTGCTGTGTCCGTCAGCCTGGGCCGGACTTCCAAGGTGCTTCCTGCTGTGGCTGCTGGGCCAAGGTTGGGCCTCATTCTCCTTCGTCTTGCCGAGGGTCTCTGGGCACTGGCTTGGGGCTCTGCCCTTCCCAGGTGGCAGCTGACACAGCCCTGCTGAGGGCCCCTTCATCTCCAGCCTCCCCTCATCCTTCCTGCTCTCAGGGGGAGAAGATTGCCTTTTGTATCATGGTCTGGAAAGCTTCCATGTGTTACCACTCAAGGGGAAAGTTTTAAGCACCAAAGAGTGCTGGAGAGGCTGTGGTGAACAAGGACTGCGTTAGCAGGGCACTGTCCAGCTGGGTGTCACCCTACACCGTTGTCAGCAATTTTCCTGATAGTCTGGGGGGGATAAGGGAGGGGGTGTATGTGTTCACGTGTGCGTGTCTCCGTATATGTGTCTGTCTGTGCGTGCATGCTGGGGGTTGCTTTGCAGGGGGAAACCCGCGCCATCATACCTTCCATTTCTGTTCTGTGGTTGGCTGACCTTCTGGACAAAGACAGATGCTCCTCTAAACTGTGAGAATATCACACCCTCAGGTCTCTGGTCAGTCCCAGATTTAGGATTCCTAGGGCCCTCCACCCCCATGGGGCTGCTTTCTGAGGGCCCAGTGGCAATGCAGAATTCACTCTCACTCTACATACATGCCTTTAGCTTCTGGAAGTTTTTTGTGATCTCATCCAAGCCTCCTTCTTGTCCTGGGAGGGGGGCAGGCTCAGATGCTTCTCCCCATTTCTCAGATGAGGAAACTGAGATTAAGCAGTTTGGTGTGAGGATCAGTCTCAGAGCTCTGCTCCTACCCTTCATCTCCAGGGATGGGTTGTGGCCCTGGCCACCTCATTTGGTGCCTTCCTGTTGGGGGCTTTGCCTGTAGAACACTCAGGAAATGAGAGTGTCCAGCTCGCCTGGGGCTGCCCGGAAGTGAGACAGTATGCTGCCTCGTGGGCAGGCCTCCTCCTCAAGAGGCCAGAGGGGCCTCCTGCCCAGACTCCCTCCCCTCTTCCCCCCTCCTGCTCCTCATGCAGGTCTGGGAAGGGCCAGTCCCACACAGTCACTAGGTATGGGATGACGGTCCAGCACCGTGAAGGAGGCGCGTGAGCAGTGTGATGGCTTCCAGCTGGCTTCCACTCACTCCCTAAACATTTAGAGTTTTGGTGCCTTCCCTCTTCCTGAGGGGGCAGTATCTGTCCACATGATTATCCAGCAGACACTCAGCCTGTGGGGTCTCATAGCCACACCACCAGGTAATGTGGTGCATGACTGGGCAGCCGTCATGGGAGGTTTGGAGCAGCGGGGGCCCCACCATGGCTAACGGGATTCAGCCCCCGACTCCAGGGTTACCCTGCTGGTCTGAGAGGGGCCTAGTGGATTGAAGTATGGTTTGTTTCTGCTCAGAGAAAAGTGCAGCCTTGGAGTAACCAGCAGATCCAGCCTAGGTTCTGGCCCCCTGCTCCACCATTTGAAGGCTGTGGGCCTAGTTACTTAGGCTTGCTCGGCCTCAGTTTCCCATTTGTGAAATGAGAGTGACAGCTACTCTCTCTTCTCCCACGGATGGCAAGTCTTACCTCCTCAGATCCCATGATGCCGTGCACAGCTGAGTGAGTGGGCCCTGGGTCGGCTGTCTGTGTGACCTGCAGTAGCACGTAGCGTACAGCACGTAGTCACTGTGAGCATTGGTGCGTTACAGTGAGTCAGGACATCCAGGCCACTGACCTCCCTTCAGGACTGCACACTGTTCTAATTATAGCCTCCTCACACTGCTTCCCAGGTCTGGTTAGGTCATCCTCTGGGGCCCCATGTAACTCTGTGATGGTGGAGAGACCTGTTTTCAGATGAGGTTGTAGCTCACTCAGGGTTCACATAGAAGGAACCTGGCCAGAGTGAGGCCTCTGTGACTGTCAGGAAGGAAGAACAGTGCAGCCCGTCTTAGCTCCTAGTGCTGCCCCAACAACAGAAATGCCACAAGTGGGTGACTTTAAAGAACAAAAATTTATTTTCTCACAGTTCTGGAGACTAAAAGTCCAGATCAGGATCTCGGCCGTGAGGATTCCTTCTGTGGCCTCTCTAGTTTCGTTTCTGGCATTCTGGGCTTGTTGACCGGCTGTCACACGGCCCCTGTCCTCCCCGTGTGTGTCTCTGTGTCTGATCAGCTCTTTTGATAACTCAGAGGTGATTAGGCTTAGCACCCACCCTACAATGGGATGACCTCATTAACATGACATAGAAAACCCTATTTCCAAACAGGATCACACCCACAGGTACAGGGGCCAAGACGGTAATATGTATTTTGGGGAACACAATTCAATCTATAACATCCTCTCCCTGCCGTCCTCAGTACCCTGAGCTCCTGGGATAGCCAGGCCTGGTCCTGGTATGACGAGCTGTCCTGTGAGAGCCTCTCCAAGTTCCCACAGTGGAAAGCGGTGTCCACGGTGTGGTGCCTGCCTGGAGTGGGCGCTGGGGTCCCCAGTCCACGTTATTCCCTTTGGCCGTCCCTTGTCTTTGGCTGTGCTTTCACTTTTCAAAGCTCCCCATCCTGGTCTTGCCTCGGTTTACCCTCCCTGCAGCCCCTCTTTACGCCCAATTTCCAGGTAAGGCACTTGCTCCCAGGAGTGCTGTCCCTTCTGTTTGCCTCACCTGGCCCCGGCTGGGTCACGGCAGGGCTCACCAGCCGTGTCGGGGAGCATATGCAGAGCTGCAGAAGCAGGACTGGAATCTGGGTCTCCTGACTCCTGGGCCAGAGCAGCATGGTAGCTACCCTCAGGGCTGAGAGAGCAGCAGTGGGGTGCTGCCTTGTGTGGAGTGCAAGGGGACGAACTGGCATCCTTCTTCTCTGAGCACTGTTTGTTCCCTGCAGGGTCAGGAAAGACATGAAGAGCCTTATGCTGAGAGCTTCGACGACCTGGAGGCAGAGCTCCACTTCTCGGGGCCACAGGCAGCGGGAGACGCTGCACATTCCTCTGCTGCCTCCGACCCTGTATCCCCACCACCCCTGGACCCGACTCACAGTGAGGGCCCGGCTCCTGCCTATGCAGCCAGTGGACCTTTCAGGGAAGCCAGGCTCCCGGGCCGGGCCGCCTCACCTCTGGGCATGGTGAACGGGAAGCTCTTTGCAGACCGCCGAGACCCATACTCTGCCATGGGCATTCAGCGGAAGTTCTTCCACCAGGACCAGTCCCCCATGGGGGGCCTCACGGCAGAGGACATCGAGAAAGCCCGGCAGGCCAAGGCGCGCCCTGAGGGCAGCAAGCCCCACAAGCAGATGGTGCGTCTGGGAGGCCTGAGCTGGGCTGGGCGGTTCCTGACACAGTGCCCCATCCAGTGGGCACCGTGGTCTGGGGCTGTTAGGAACACGGAGACCTTTTGGGGGAGCGTGCTGCTAGGTGGAGCTGCCCCTTTTGTGGGTGGGGAGGGCCCTGTTTGCTGTTACGAGGTCTCTCTCTCTTCCTCTAGCTCAGTGAGAGGGCTCGGGAGCGGAAGGTGCCAGTTACACGGATCGGCCGCCTGGCCAACTTTGGAGGTAAGGTGCCCCTGTGCCACGTCTCCTGCCCTGGCTGAGTGGAGCAAGGGTCACCCTGGTGGTCTGGTGGAGGTGGGAGAGGGTAGGGACCCAGTGGTGCCCAGGGGAGGGTGTTAGGAGTAGGTGGCAGTGGCTGCTCTTGTGTTAGCTTTGGGGGGCCCCTCCCTGACATTTTCCGCCTGCAGATGATCCAGTTACTGGATTCCAGCTCTACCCCTGCCCACCTCTAGGGATTGGTGTGCCAGAGATGCCCTGCCTCAAGGGGCAGCATTAACTGCTTCTCAGGACACCTTGGGGGCCGCATCTGCAGCATCAACTTCTCCTGCCTCTCAGCCTTATGGCTTCTGCAGGAAGAAGGCCGGGGAGTGAGTAGTTCTTCCCTGAGGTTGTTTACCAACTAAATAGGGCCTTTCTTGCTGGGAGTAGCCCTTTGGGGAACCCATCAGTGGTCATAGGGTGCTGCTGTCCTTTAAAGCCCATTTTAATAGACTGGAGAGTAGGCACTTGGTTTGTGCTGTCTTTGGGGTTTTGAGTAGCCATTGTGTCTGGTACATCTGTGCTCTTTTCATATGAGTTAAAAGATAATTTTATAGTAAAGCTTTACAGCAGTTGTATCTGCTTTAAAAAAATTATTGGTGTAAAATACATGTAACATAAAATTTGCCATTTTAACCATTTTTAAGTGTACAGTTCAGTGTCATTAATTACAGTCACCATGTTGCACAACCATCAGCACTATTTATTCCCAAAACATTTGCATCACTCCAGACAGAAACTGTTCCCATTAAGCAATAATAACTCCCCATTCCCCCTTCCCCCAGCTCCCGCTAACTACTAATCTACTTTCTGTCTGTATGAATTTGCCTCTTCTAGATATTTCATAGAAGTGGTGTCATATAGTATTTGTCCTTTTCTGTTTGTCCTATTTCATTAGCATAATGTTGTCAACGTTCATCCGTGTTGTAGCATGTATCAGAACTTCATTCTTTTTTATGCCCCAGTAATATTCCATTGTGTGTATATACCACATTTTGATTATCCATTCATCTGTTGATGGACATTTAGGTTGTCTCTACCTTTTGGCTATTGTGAGTAATGCTTCACTGAACATGTATCAGCTTTTTTTTTTTTTTAAAAAAGTAACATAGTGTTTTCAGTGAAAGTTTACCCAGCAAATTAGGTTCCCATTTAACAGTTTCTGCACAGTTTGTTCAGTGATTCTGAACACAGTTTACTCAGAAACAGTATTGGTTACATTTTTCACAGTGTGTCAACTTTCTCTTCATTTCCATCCAGGTTCCGTTTCCAGTAATCTAGTTTCCCTGCCCCCTTGCCTTCTCATCTTTGCTTTAGAGTAAATGTTGACCATTTGGTCTTATATAGATGATTTTTTTTTTTTTAATATTTTATTGTATTTCAGGTGAAGGCTTACAGAACAAATAGTTTCTCATGAAACGGTAGTACACATGTTGTTTTATGACATTGGTTAACAACCCCACCACATATTAACCCTCTAACTTCTCAACCCTTTTTTTTTTGGTGAAAATACACATAGCCAAAGATACACCGTTTCAAAAATTTCTACATGCACAGTT